ATATATAATAATGAGTTCTAATGATTCACATTCTTCTACATATGTTTATATGATTGGTAACTTTATGAAAACAAGGCAATCAAAGTATATTGATGTTCGGAAAAAAAAAATGAAACGAAAAAAAATGACATTACACTTTCAAAAATAGAAAAAAAAAAACCATAGGTAATCCGTAGGTAAATACCTACGGATAGCCTTTATCCGTAGGTAATCCGTAGGTATTTACCTACGGATTACCTACAGTTTTTTTTTTCTATTTTTCAAGGGTCTAATGTTATTTTTATCGTTATATTTTTTTCACAACATCATTATAGTTTGATTGTTTTGTTTTCAACAACTTATACATAACATAAACTTACATACACAGACATGGATCGTTAGAACCCACTACTCATTTACAACTTTATTATTCTCTTTTTATATAATATAAATGAAAGTATTTTCTATATACAAATACAAATAAATACACACATTTACATACAAAAGATATGTACGTATTATGTTCAGTATATCACATATTTGTTTAATGACTTTAATTGTGGCTCAAGAACAAACATAATTAAATAGCTTTTTTTGAATCATATATAGTAATGAGTTCTAATGATTCACATTCTTTTACATACGTTTATATGATGGATAACTTTGTGAAAACAAAGCAATCAAAGTATATTGATGTTCTGAAGAAAAAAAATGAAACGAAAAAAAATGACATTACACCTTCAAAAATAGAAAAAAAAAACGTAGGTAATCCGTAGGTAAATACCTACGGATTACCTACGGATAGCCTTTATCCGTAGGTAATCCGTAGGTATTTACCTACGGATTACCTACAGTTTTTTTTTCTATTTTTCAAGGGTCTAATGTTATTTTTATCGTTACATTTTTTTCACAACATCATTATACTTTGATTGTTTTGTTTTCAACAGCTTATACATAACATAAACTTACATACACAGATATGGATCGTTAGAACCCACTACACATTTACAACTTTATTATTCTTTTTTTATATAATATAAATGAAAGTTGTTTTCTATATACAAATACAAATAAATACACATATTTACATATAAAAGATATGTAGGTATTATGTTCAGTATATCACGTATTTGTTTAATGAGGTTAATTGTGGCTCAAGAACAAACATAAATAGCTTTTTGTATCATATATAGTAATGAGTTCTAATGATTCACATTTTTCTACATACGTTTATATGACGTATTACTTTTTGAAAACAAAGCTATCAAAGTATAATGATATTCTGAAAAAATGAAATGAAAAAAACGACATTACACCTTTAAAAATAGAAAATAAAAAAAAACGTAGATAATCCGTATGTAAATACCTACAGATTACCTACGGATAGCCTTTATCGGTAGGTAATCCGTAGGTATTTACCAACGGATTACCTACAGTTTTTTTTTCTATTTTTCAAGGGTCTAATGTCATTTTTATCGTTACATTTTTTTCACAACATCATTATACTTTGATTGTTTTGTTTTCAACAACTTATACATAACATAAACTTACATACACAGACATGGATCATTATAACCCACTACTCATTTACAACTTTATTATTCTTTTTTTTATATAATATAAATGAAAGTTATTTTCTATAAACAAATACAAGTAAATACATACATTTACATACAAAAGATATGTACGTATTATGTTCAGTATATCACGTATTTGTTTAATGACGTTAATTGTGGCTCAAGAACAAACATAATTAAATAGCTTTTTTTGTATCATATATAGTAATGAGTTCTAATTATTCACATTCTTCTACATACGTTTCTATGATGGATAACTTTGTGAAAACAAAGAAATCAAAGTATATTGATGTTCTGAAAAAAATGAAACGAAATAAAATGACATTACACCTTCAAAAATAGAAAGAAATAAACCGTAGGTAATCCGTAGGTAAATACCTACAGATTACCTACGGATAGCCTTTATCCGTAGGTAAGCCGTAGGTATTTACCTACGGATTACCTAGAGTTTTTTTTTATTTTCTATTTTTCAAGGGTCTAATGTCATTTTTATTGTTACATTTTTTTTCACAACTTCATTACATTTTGGACTTGAATTGTAAGGATTTTTCAGAAGGAGGGGTTAGTGGTAATTTACAGATCTTAATTGAGAATAATTTATAGAGAAAGGGGTTGTTTTGTAAATTTTGGACTTGTAATGAAAAAGATTATTGAAATCAAGGGTGTAAAGGGTAAATTAGGGTTTTGTTTTGAAAGAAAAAGAAAGAGAGGGACTATATTGATCACCACCACCACCCTAGATTTTGATGTTCATCAACTTCACACTCCTGTTAAATCCGTTTCTTTAACCACCGCTAGGAGAGTGAAATGTTCTGAAACCTGTTATGGAATAGAACTTCCCCTCAGATCAGGTCCTTCTAGCATATCGATTTCAAAAAATTAGGGCTTCAGTTTTTGTTAATTTGCTGCAAATATCGATTTCAGGGTTTCTATTTTGACTAGAATTTCTGAAAGATGAACACAATTTATAGGGGTTTCTTCATGTGTTTTCTTGATGATCAATTTTTGAAAATCTAGTGTGTATGCGTGTTCTTTCAGAAATCATTGATGAAAATGATGATGAAAGATGAAGATAGAGATGTATAGCGAAGTCAGTGGAATGGATGGGAGTTGGATTTGAGATATGTGATTTTAATTTGGAATTTCAATATGGAGATTCACAGTGAAGATGAAATGGTTTTTAGATTTACATTAGGATGTTGTATCTGGTAAAAGGCGGGTTCCCTCAGTGTATTTTGATTTTATAATTTTTTTTAATCTTATAGATTTTTTCTAGGTTTCTTCTTCATGGACGATGATGATGAACTGGAAAAGGAAAATGAAACAGAAGGGAAGATGAAGGGTTGGTTGCCAGATCTAAAAAAATACAGTTGGACTAAACATATAATTTTAAGAAAACCACATGGACTAAATTCGTAAATTTAACCCACTCATAAAAACCAGTTTTGTAATTTCAATAACTTCTACAATTGACATGTAATTTCAATAACTTCTACAATTGACAGGTGTCAATTGATCATTGGTTCTTAACTTGATGCCCTAAATATTAGTTTTCATAGAACTTAATCCTATATATATATATATATATATATATATATATATATATATATATATATATATATATATATATATATATATGGTTATGTTATTTTGTTTTTGCTAATATTGTGTGCTTGTATAAAGGATTCTAGGCCAATCATTTATGGTAAATTAAGAAAGTGATTTTCTTTTAAAATTAAATAGAAAAAAAAACAAATTAATAGGCTTTCATTAATTGACTGGTCACGGGAGGGTAGAATGGTACATTTCTCGTCATTTTATTTGGAAACTGTCGATAACTATGGAAGTGATCAACCGATAATCTCAAATATCTCGCATACTCACAAAATCAAAAACCCAATTCCTTTGGAGGTTGAAACACATTCTAATTTTTTGTAATCTATCTTCAAAATCGGAAGATTCTTTGAAGGTTTTTCATATAAATATCGACACTTAATCCTAGAAGACGGAATCGGCATTCGGGGGCTTCTGTGAACGGTATTTTATAGAATAACGAGTACATGATCGACTTCATTCAAGTCGAAGTTCAAGAACACAGCAGCAACGGCCTTGAATCTTCAAGATGACGATGATGATTTCGTTGCGTAACCTGAAGGTAACAATTTTTTGTTTTAGTTGATGTTTATTGAGTTCGAAAAATGTATTATAGTGTAGGAAGTGTATTTAAAATCATTTATGCATGTATGATTTGTGGTTTGCAAGAAGATGTCTTTTTTTGGAATTTCTTAAGAATAAGTATTGTTTATTACAGTATGCCTTGAAATAATAATAGTATGATAGAATGAAATAATTGTACATGTTATTCTGCCCGAATGCTCTATTCATATGAACATAAAGATGTTTGTTATTCTCCTAGAATTAATCATGTTGTTGTATTAGTTAAAATTGTAATGAAAAAATCTATGAATAAGTAGTTAATTAGCAGGGTATAAAGATTTTATATTCTACTGGAATCAAAGTTTGTATATGATTAATGACTTAAACTAAAACATTCAAAATTCTAATAGATCGATTAAGTTTACATATATAAAATTCTAGTAGAATGGTATGTTGTATATGATTGTGACTATCCAAATAGATAGTGGATTTTATGTCTTGTATTGAAATATAAATGATTCTGGTAGAATTCTAATTTATATGCAATATCATCAGATAGAGTTTAAAGAGAGTGTTTTTTTGATAATTTTTCTTTTATACTGTTATCATTTAAACAAACTGTATAATATTTTAACTTTTGTTGTTTAATTTTTATTAACTTAGAATTATGAGTTAAATTGAAACAGGTACATTTATTGTAGAATATTCTAGTAGAATACGAATATGTGTATGAATATAAGTATTTCAATGTGCAGTGGTTATGTTTGAAAATTAAATGTATGATGTTTTTTTTAGTTTATTTTATATTCTGTTAGAATTGCACTTCTATAAATATTTTTTTTGTAATATGTCATTATTTTGTATTCTGTTTGCATGGGAATTTTGTGTTTATGGTAGTTGTGTTATTGAAATAAATTTTTATTCTGTTAGAATATAGAGAATATCTTATATTTTAATACATTAATATCTAATATCTTATACTAAACATTATAATATTTATTGTGTGCTATAGCAGAACAAGTACATGAAGAAGAACAACATGTGAAACGAGAAAGAAGGTCAAAGAAAAAGCTTGATAAATCAGTTGAACCAAAGAAAAGTCCTAAACCTTTAAATGCATTACTTTTGGAAAGAGAGATAAGGTGAAAGAGGAAATATGACAGAGTTCCAGTTGTAAAAAATTTAAAGAATAAGGGAATTGATGAATCTATCAAAGAGGAACAAGAAGTTAATGTTAGAAAAACAAGTAAGGAATATTCACTTGGTTTAAGATACCTTCCAACCAGAATGAAGTGTGATAACATCACTACAGCTGTTAGGGGGATGTCACCAGAACAAAAACAAGCAATCTTGAGTATGGGTTTTGGGTCAATTCTGCAAGTGAATATTACAAGTTGTCCGGGACAACTAAGCTACTATCTTTTAGATGTGTATGATGCCAATAGTAAAAGAATTGTCCTACAAAATTCTGTTATTGAGATAACAGAACAGACAGTGCATGATATGATGGGGTTGCCAACTGGTGGAGAAGACATCAATGAGTTGCCATTGTGTGATAAGGGGAATCAAATTCTGTAAGAATGGAGGGGATAATATACTTGTGATAAGTTCAATGGTGAGGAGTATTTAAGAAGGATTCATGCTACAACAAAAGATAGTTTGATGCTTATGCTTATTTTTTTTTACCCTTTTTGTTAACAACTTCATAGAGTCAATGTTAATGGGAACAAATCAAATAAAAGTGGAAAGAAAGTTGGTGTTGGTAGAAGACTTTTCAAAGTTAAATTGGTGTAAATATATGTTTGATTGTTTGGGATCAAGGAATAAACTATGGAAAAGGGATGACAAATCAAGCTACTACAATGGTCCTATTAACACTCCTGATTGTAAGTTTGAAATAGTGTTATATGAAATTTTAGATTTGGTAGTGATTTATGCTTGATGTATTGATTAAGTTAATGTTTTTTAGTCGGTGTATGTGTATAACCTAAAGTATTCTATGAAGTTAGATAAAAAGGAATTACGTTCAAATGTTTCCAACAAGTATTGTGTGCATGGATGCATCAATCACAATTTAGCAAATTATTAATTATTTTATTAAATATGTAAGGGTAATTATGTAATCTTTCATTTTAATTCTTTATTTAGTCTGATTGTTATCCTTTTATATTAGGCAATGATTTATGACTGATTTAGTTATCATTAATTTAGTTTTCTTTATATACCCGATTCAAACGTTTCCCACAAATAGAAGACAATTGTCGATTCCCCAGAAACAGATCACAATTGTCGATTCCATTAGCTGATAATCAATTTGTTTTACACTATCGATGGGTGTTCATACTGGAAATCGAAACCAGGTATTCATACATTATTAACAACGACGTCTGACCATGATAATGAAGATTCGATTCAAACGTCCCCCACACACCCTTTTACTGTTTTTACATATACATATGTATCAAATATGATAATCTTGCAGGATAATGAATATCAGAATCCCGGGAAGGATCTGGGTAATGTCAATAATCCCAAGAATCCGGTGAATGAAGTTGTGAAGGACAAAAAAAAAGATGTAAAATATGTTTTGTATTTGGTCATGATAGCAGGAACTGTCCTTTTGGATTGAAGAAAGCATAGAACTAAAAGAAATTCATCAAATTCATCGTTTTTAGATATTATTAAGTTTGATTTCAGTAAAATAAAAGTATGTTTTTGACGAATTATATGGTATTATTAAGTTTCATTTCAGTGTAATAAAATTATCATTTGAAAGGATGTTTGTGTTTTTCTGGTATATTTATGTTTTATAGGATCATACAGTTTATCATTCCAACATAATGTCAAAGAAAAACATTACAGTTATAATTCCAACAGAATGTCAAAAAAATAAAGTTCATTACATTTCATAAAATATGTTTGATGTTTCATAAAATCAAAACACATAATGTCAAAAATAAAATTTGCAAACAATGAGTAATACAATGACTTTAACTTAAACAGTTTAAGAGTTAACTATATTGTAAGCCATATTACTATAATATTCTAGTAGATTGATTTGGAGATAACACATAGTAAACAATTTTGTTAGCCATATTGTGGCATCTTCATTCCTAATAATTGTCTCCCCTAAATGCCACTTGTCCCCTCCTTAAACCCCCAACAATCCACATGTCATTCTTCTGCCTCTACTCTCACTTCTTTTCCCGCCCATTTCCTACTTCAGGAATGTATATCATATCCTAAAAATCAGCTCTTTGATTACATTATTGTCCCCACATTCAAACAAATTTTGAATTTTCAATTTCATATCTCCTCATATCCCATATAATCAGCAATGGTTTTGAAATAATTGATCTTTTACCAAATATATAACGATCAAATTAGGAATTAAATCACGATTAGTATATTCTCTTCTCCTATTCATTGCATTTATAAATACCAAACCCCTAAATATTTTTATATGTTTTGACGACTTTCTGCTTCTTCATCTCTACAAAGTGCAAAGTACCATCTTTTATCGTACATTTCAATCCATCAGGTTAGTGTAAAACAAAATAATCATACTTTGTTTTATTTTGTTTATTTCTATCTTCTTCTCCTTCTGTTACAAATTTCATATAGCATCCTAGAAACAAGTATGTCGATCTATGTGTGTTGCTCTCTATGTGTTCCATTCACATAATATTCATGCTTATACTTATTATTTTTTTCTTTTTTAATACAAACATATGACGGTTTTGCTACACCATGATATTTACTCGCGGTGCAGTTTTTTTTCCTCAATCTGACTTTCACAAATGACTGTTTTGCTACACCATGATATTTAAACAATTATAATTTAGAACCATATTTGAATAAATTAAAGACTTATGATAGCAAAAAAAAATACATGTCATAGAATACATATATGCTTATCGAAATCTCCATCTCCATTCTTAATAATTGAGATAAAAGGGAGGTATCTGTTGAGGCAGTGAATATATTTTGATATTTTTTTTCTCTATTGACTATTTTGTTTATAACATGCAAACTAATTGTAGGAAAAGAAATATTCATGAAAGAAAGTGAGGTTGTCCTATACAATTAGGCAATAATGCTTTCTTCATTCAGTTAAGTTTGAAAACAAAATTAATTTGACTGCAATTTTCATATTTATAGATTTTCTCGATCAACTGTTTGTTGGATTAACAAATGAGCAACGGGACATTTTTGTTGATATCATGGATGCAGTTAAACATATTAAGGGAGGTGTATTCTTTGTTTGTGGTTATGGTGGAACAGGTAAGACATTTCTTTGGAAGATAATTTCTGTAGTAATTAGAGCTCAAGGTTAGATTGTTTTAAATGTTGCTTCAAGTGGGATAGCTTCATTATTATTGACTGGAGGCAGGACAGCACACTCTCGGTTTATAATTCCCATAAATCTTAATGAGGATTCTTTTTGTTCAATAAATCCAAAAACCGATCTTACCAGTTTAGTAAGAAAAACCTCATTGATCATTTGGGATGAAGCACCCATGGTACACAAACATGCATTCGAAGGTTTAGATCGAACTCTGAAGGATATATTAAAGTGTGTCAATCCTGCGAATTCAAATATTCCATTTGGAGGGAAAGTGATTGTTTTTGGAGGTGATTTCAGACAAATTCTACCTGTTGTTCTAGGTGGCAGTAGGCAAAACATTGTTAATGCTTCTTTAAGTTCTTCTTATTTATGGCAACAATGCAAAGTTCATAAATTAACAAAAAAAACATGAGGTTATCTATTGGAAGCGATCCATCTGCTATTGAACAAATAAGGGATTTTGCAGCTTGGCTTTTGGACATAGGAGAAGGTAATCTTGGTGGTCCGAATGATGGTGAAGCAATTGTTGATATTCCATGGGATATTGTTAATACTAATCCACATGATCCTATAGGTTCATTAATCAGTTTTGTATATCCTTCTATACTGGAAAACTTCAACATTGCTGATTATTTTCAAGAAAGAGTAATACTAGCTCCCAAGAATGAAGTTGTCCAAGAAATAAACGATCGTTTGCTGTCATTGTTTCCAGGAGAAAAAAAAAAAGAATACTTAAGTTCAGATAGTCTATGCCGATCCGAGTTTGTTCGTGATGAGTTTGATGCAAATTTATACTCACTTGATGTTTTAAATGGTCTTAAAGTCTTAGGTCTTCCAAACCATAAGCTCATTTTAAAAGTCGGTGTCCCAGTTATGTTATTGAGAAACATTGATCAGAAAAATGACTTATGTAATGGGACTAGACTATAGGTTAAATCTTTGGGAAAATGTGTTGTTGAGACAGTTATCTTATCTGTAAGTAATGTTGGAAACCGGACTTTTATTCCAAGAATGTCTTTAACTCCTTCTGAAGACAAGATCTCGTTCAGATTCCAAAGAAGACAATTTCCATTAGCTGTATGTTTTACAATGACAATTAATAAGAGCCAAGGACAATCTCTATCGAAGGTTGGTTTGTTCCTCAAAGAGCCTGTTTTCACACATGGTCAATTGTATGTTGCTTTATCCAGAGTTCAAAGTAGAGAATGATTAAAATTGTTGATTTTAGATAAAGATGGTAGACTAACAAATAAAACTTCTAATGTTGTGTATAAAGAAGTTTTTAGAAATTTGTAAAAAAATTTGTACAATTTTATTATTAATATAAATTTTGTTATCTGGTTTTTGTTAAATTTATATTTCATTCCATAAAATTATAATTTTTTTGCATTTCTACAAATACAAAATGCAAATTGCATATTCAAACCACTACCGATTCGTATTTTTAACGATTAGAAGTTTTATTTGTTAGTTATGTCGTTATCTTATTATTGCAAAACATATAAACTTTAATCATTACAATAACTATTATCAATTATTAATATTAATTTTAAATAAATAAGTACAATTTAATTAAAAAAATTAATTTCTAATCCGTGGTGCACACGGGTTATAACCTCGTTATTCTAATAGAATGATATTCAATGAATACAATGTGCATAGTTTTATAAGCCATGTTGATACATCTTATCAGTCATGTTTTCAAGGTAACAATTGATAAGTTTTATAAGTCATAATTCTGCAGTATTCTAATAGAATTCATTCGAAAATAAAATAATATGTAGAGTTTTAGAATCCATATTGATATATCATTATGATAGAATTATGTCGTTAATAAAATACTGTGTAGCTTTTTTTAAATTACATAATAATATTGTAAGTAATTACTTTAATGTACTGTTGAAATGTTTTATATTTGGAATGTGAATAGAGTACCTTATGAATATTTTTATCTTTATCATGTTTTAAAAAAGAATCAATTCAGAATCATTTATTTTTATCACTGATCCCTAATATCAAGCCTTTTAATTTGCATAGAATCCGTTTTCATCCCTATTTCTTTTCTATGTCAGTTTATAATATATTTTTTTTCAACTTCTAAAGCATATAGAAACACTGTCGAAATTTCTTAGTTATGGGCGATCAACTACCATAGGCCAATAATCATATTTACGAGGAACATTATTTGGCCAGTGATGATGAAAATGGAATTGAAGATTTCAATTTTCCTGATAATGATACACTCTATAATGGCGGATTTCACATAAGAGAAAGCAGTAATCCTTATTTAGGTGAGTTTTTGAATTATTTGTTTAATTTTTCATTGTATGTCAGATTTTATATTATAACAAACATGTTTAATATTAAATGTTAATATTTTTGTTGATGAACATACAGAGGATGCAAATCATGAAGAAGACGAAAATCAGGTCGTTGATGAAGATACAGAGGTTAATATTGATTTCAGAGAAGGTATTAAATTCAATTCAGGATATTGAAATTTTTACAGAATAATAAAATTCTTTCAGAATAATATTTATATAATTCTTTCAGGATAATTGTGTATTTGCTATGTTGAAACGGGACAACCTCATGTTACACATGATTACGTTTCTCCTGGTGGCACCCTGTATTGGACCCCGATTGTTTCAGATGATATCAAACCAAAAGTTACATCAAAATTTGATTCATATGGTGAAGCAGTAACAATGTACAGAAACTATGCATTAGAATCTGGTTTTGATGTCAGGCTTAGAAGAGTCAAAAAACGAAAACAGGATTATTACAAATTGACATCTTGTATGCAATCGGGAAGGTAATCCAAATACTAGTAAAGTAGATACTCTGGACATTCAGCATAATAAGACTCAAAGAAGAAAAAATTTATTTAGGAGGGATTGTAAAGAGAAATTTGTTATAGATATAATTCCCGGTACTCTTAAATATGTTGTGAGTGATTTCGTTGAGCAACATAATCACGAGTTGTTTAGCAAGGGCAATATGTACTTATCTCGTTCAAAGAGAAAACTTGATTATTCCCAGGAAATTTTCATCCATAACTTGTCAAAACAAAACATTGGTCCTATAAAAGCGCATAGACTGTATAGTGCTCTTCACGTCGGTCCTTCGGTTCGATGTGGATTGGTTTCTGATTTCAAGAATGCTAGGAGAAATCTTAACTGTTACATAGGTGGGAGGGACGCGAAATTCCTTGTTGACAAGATGAGTGACAGGAAAAAAAATTCCCATCATTTACTTTTGAGTATAAAGTGTTGAACAAGTTGAATGCTCTATTCTGGGCTGACGAAACAGCAAAGTATAACTACAATTCGTTCGGAGACGTTGTATCACTCGATGCCACATTCAGCATGAATAAGTAATTCTAACCTTTAATACTTTTACAATAACAATTTCATTGTTTTCAGTTATGTAAACTAATATTTTATTTTTAACATAGGTATGATATGGTTTTTGTTCCATTCACTGACATTGATAACCACAAAAAATGTGTAACATTTGGTGTTGGACTTTTAAGTAAAGAAGATGGAGTTTCTTATGAATGGTTGCTTAGAGCTTTTTTGAAAGATTTTAGAAAACAACCTCAATTGGTTATATCTGACCAAGATCCAGCTTTGGAAAAAGCTATAGATAACGTTTTCCCATTGGCACATCATAGGTTATGTATGTGGCATATAACAAAGAAGTTGCCAAATAAGGTATGCATCGAAAGACTATTATCCTTATTTTTTGTCATGTGTCTACAATGATTTTCTCATATTCTAAAAGAATAAATTGCATTAACTATTTTATTCTACTCATCCTCATTGAATTTCAATTTATACAGATTTTATCAATTGAAGATGCAACCACCAATCAAAATTTTCGAAAGTGATTTCACTCTATAATTTGGAATTCTAATCTGGAACCACATGACTTCGGGAATGTATGGCGTATGATTTTGGAGGAGTTTAAAATTATAGTTAATAGTTGGATGAATACCATGTATGGTTTGAGAAGATTTTGGATTCCCACTTTTTTCAAGCACATTCCAATGTCTGGTCTTATGCGGACTACATCACTGTCTGAAAGTCAGAATTGATCATTTCAAACCACCACATTAACCAGTTGTTATCTTATCATGTTTATGATGATATTTGATTCAGTCATGGAATGACAAAGACATAATCAAATTATCAATGATTTTAATACTGCCACCACTTTTCCTAAATTCATTACCCGTAGTCCAAATGAACCTCATGCTTCAAAGGTATATACGTGCAAGATTTTTTATCATGTTCAGAAAGAGATATCAAGAGTTGAAGATAATTGTTTCCAAAATAATGTGATATCTTCCAACGATGTTGACACAATTATTGTTTTGGAGAAAAAAAAACAACATAACTACTAGGCAAACGAATGATGTCGATGTTGATGACAAAGACGAGGAATACAATTATGATTGTCTTATAAGGGATACTGAGCACACGGTATATTTTTTTCATATTAATTGTTTATCATTTGAATTTAAACACTAAATATTTACAACTTAAACATTCTCACTAATCATCTTATATATCCCAGGTCACACACTCAACCGAAGATGGTTCATTCAAATGTACTTGTATGCATTTTGAACATGTAGGGATCTTATGTAGACACATATTCTGTGTGTTTAAGTTTTATGGCATTGAACAAATTCCTGAAAAGTACATTTTTAAACGTTGGAGTAGGGATATTATTCCAACAGAATTACTGAAAAGACACTTCAATAGTTCTGTTGACGATTCTAATTCCGACATGACTGTTATTGATATTTTTTTCAACTGTTGATCATTGTGTGTCTTTTTTGAGCCATGATGTAGCTAAGTTAAAGTTATACATTGACGAGCAGAGCAGAACATCTCAAGAAGCTTCTAGGCATGGTAGTTCCTGATGTAGTATCTAATGTTAGTGACATTCAGAATCCTTCAGATATTCGTAAAAAAGGTTGCGGAAATCGTGGGAAAAGATTAAAATCTACAAAAGAGATGATTAAGAAAGAAAGCTCGAAACCTAAGAGAAAGTGTGCAACATGTGAACAGATGGTTCATCATGACAAAAGAAATTGTCCTTTAAAGAACGTCCAGAAATAATTCCCTTTTTATGTTATTTTAATGGTTTTAGTAAAATGACATTTCATTTTGATTTTATCGGTTCACATTCAATGTTATGTTTTATGTCGTTTAATAAAGTATTCACCTTGATTGCTAGTGACGATGCCATTGTCAATGTATCTAACAATATTTATCGTTTTTTATTACTTCAAAATAATCATATAACGAAATACAAATATTCATTCCATCAATTCTATAAATTCATTTTTTTCCTTACTTACAACAAGTTATACAACTTTTTTGAATCATTTTAAGATTGATTTTCATTTTAGCAAAAATGTTTTATTACTTAGTACAATATACAAACAATGTGTTTAATTTATATACAAGTATTCATCATACCATATTTACTTTCAAAAAGCCTATATAGTTCGTAAACATAATCATTTCAACAGAATTTTAAATCTAAATATATATTTTCCATCTACATCCAATTTATATAGACGTATTCTTTGTAACAAATTTGCTTTTTTCTAAATTATACATTTATACACACATATTTAATTTAAAAAAGGGTACATTATACCAAAATATACATTTCTCATCTACATCATATTAATAGAAAATAAAAACTATAACATATTCTTCTAGAATCATAACAACATAAACTATTCTATCTGCATCAAAAAACTGTAAAAACAACCCACGCACACAACATATGAAGTCGACAAAATTAACTTCATATTTCCTAAACATATCCATTCCAAAAGAATTTTATATTTTGATTTTTTATGCATTATACATTTACACACAAATATTTAATTTCAAAAAGGGTACATTATACCTAAAGATACATTTGTCATCTACATCCAATTACTAGAAAATAAAAAGCTATAACATATTCTTCCAGAATCATAATATTTACAATATTCTATCAGCATGAAAACTGTAAAAAAACAGTCCATTCACACAACATCTGATCATTCATTACAAAACACACATCAACACATACATTATTAACAACAACCTAGAATTATATTTAAAAAATCTTCATAATTTAATACTAAATTTTATTAATAAACAGCTCATCAAAAACTTAGTATTAAACTACTTCCCATTCTACCAGAATTGCTTATCACAATGCACAACATCATCATCCCAGAATTTAAACAATGCATCAATACAACCTTTATACCAAAATTAACATTCCATTAGAAGATATAAGCTTACATACTGATAAAAATACTTGAAAACATATGACAAACAAAATACTTTTTCAAACATCTAACATAAAGCAGAATCGTGTTTGAACAACCACAAAAAAAAAAAAAGTTTAGATCATGCGATGTCAATATTTATCTTTAAAAAACCAAATCACCACTTCAAATTCTTACCTACGACCCTTTTCTTTTCTTTTTTTCTTCCTATTTTCAATTGACTGTTGAAGAAGCATATTTTGTTCCAAAATATCCAGCTTACAAAACGCTTCAAAATCTTTAACTATCATACTCTTAAACTTATTGAACTCAGCTGTCAACAATCTTGCCATGTATTTCGTTCTTAACTTAATTATAGCACTCACATCACCAGGCATTTTACCTGTAAGACCACACTCCCAACGCCCTTCATTTTCCCACATGTAACTTTCCATATGCCTCATGAGGTAGATTCCACAATCTGTTCCAGATTTTTCTACTTGCCAAGATATGTTCATCACCCGTCCCACCTTAAAAGTAAAGGCTTTTGCCCTTAGATTATGTTCTGATGTCAAGTAGTTGCAAAATAGTTTTTTTTGTCATTAAATACAAGAAATACATAAAAACATATTCTTATAACAATCTTTAGAATGAAAACCTAGTGCTCAGAATTTTTTTGATTATCTTACCACCAGGTTTGGTATCATGCCATATTTACTTTCCAAAGTTCTCATTCTCTTCACATGATCTATTATGTAGTATAAACTTGATCTCAGATCAAAGATGAGTAAGTAGTACTTCCCATCATCAACTATTGGGAAGAAAACCTTGTACACATTAAAAAAAAAAGTAGTTAATTTAATATTAAGTGATGCAACAAATTTTACATTTACTAAATAAACTTACAAGCGCAATGTAGCACCTGGTTCCTGGTATGTATTTTAATCTAAGTATTTTTGCATTTTTAGCTGGAACTCGGAGAGTTGTAGGCCCGACTCGCCGAGTAGACACGAGATATTGAGCACGTTGAAGTTGGCGACTCGACGAGTCCATATCCTGGACTCGGCGAGTCCGCCAGTCTGGATGAAACCCTAATTTCAAAGGTTTTCACCCTATTTAAACATCTTTTTGTGCTTCATAACGGCCCCATTACGTCCAGAACACTCCCTCACGAAGCCCTAACCCTTCTTTTAGTAATTTGAGTGCTTTTGGTGCAATTCCTTGAAGTTTTAGAGAAAAGAAAAAGGTAGATCAAGAGGAGAGGAAGAAGATCCAGAATCTTTGTGCCATTTCAGAGCTTCTAGAGGTATTAGACTCGAAACCCTCTCTGTTCCTTCATTATTATCTCCTTAAGAGTTTAAGATAGTCATTTTAAGGCCTCTTCTAGTCTTGATCCTTTAGTGATGAGCTTATAGTGTTAAGGGACTTTAGATCTAGGCATGACTGAGCTCTAGGAGCTCAGATCTATTGCCTTTATGAGCCTAACTTGTGTATAAGTCCTAGATCTACTCTTCTAGTCCTTGTTAAGCCTCTTATTTCCCTTTTGATGCATGAATACATGTAAAGTTGGAAACTTTATGTGTAAAACCTACCCTAAGAACCCAGATCTATGAATAGAATGCATTGGATTCAAGCAGAATCGAGTATATAGTAATTGCATGCATGCGACTCGGCAAGTCGTTCTTCGGACTCGGCAAGTCGAGTCGCGAGTTCCCGATTTTCCCCTTTTGAGTTTCGCTAAGTGGGATTAGTGAGCTATAAGTGGACTTAGTGAGTCGGAAGCCAGACTCGATAATGGAGGGACTCGGTGAGTCAATGCCCTGACTCGACGAGTCCAAGGCAATCTTCTTGCCTCAAGAACAGACTCGACAAGTTGTTCATACAACTCGGCGAGTGATGGACCAGAGTGTTCATCGGATGAAGATGAACTCGACGAGTTGTTCATACAACTCAGCGAGTTGAATGAAGGACTATTGGATATCTGTTTAGAAGGAGAACTCATCGAGTCAATGCCTAACTCAACGAGTAGGGACGAGAGTGAGGACAATCTTCTGGATAGGGACTCAACGAGTTAGCTAGCCAACTCGGCGAGTCGAGTCGATTGGAAGTTGACTTTGACTTTGAATTTTGACTTGGTCTGGGGTAAAATGGTCATTTTACCATAAGGACAGTTAGAAGTGTTTGATTGAGTGTTTCATGGGAATTACAGCCGGAGGATTTCCGGAGCAGCAACAGCAGACAGACAGTTCCCGCGTAGATCAGCAGCTACTTCGAGGTGAGTTACCTTCCAGTAGCAGTGGGTCTACGACCACAATGCCGACCCACCAGTAGAGGTTGTGTGTTAGATGATTGTCTTTGTGATATCATCTAGTCTTTGCTACTACCTAATATGTTATATGCCAGTTTGATGTGTTATAGTAGTAGAGTTCGGTTGTTAGGACCGAAGGGTAGTCAGACACCCTAGATATGTTTGATAGTATGTTATGTTATGATATATGATAGTAGTAGTGGTAGGGGTGAAACAGTCCCCGCGTTTTGGTTGTTAGGACCGAAGGGTGGTCAGCACCCCAGAATGGCCGCACAGGTAGGTCGGCACCCCATAATGGTCGTACCGGGTAGGTCGGGCACCCCAGAAATGCTTGACAAGTATAGTATGTTATATGATTGTAATGTATGTTACATGATTGTATGGTATGTGGTATGTTGGGGGAACTCACTCAGCTTCTTGCTTATAGTTTTCAGTTTGGTTTCAGGTATCTCTTCATCAAAGGGGAATGAGCTGGCGCGGTAGTGATACATCATACACATACACTATTTTTCGCCTTACGAGATTGTTCTGGGATTTGTACTCTGATATTCAGTTGATTTTGTATTTTGGTTTTTCAAACACGATATATGATTGTGGAATGATTTGATCAGAAAATGTTTTATTTACAAATGCTTTCCAAAGTATTGATTTAAAAATGAATTTTTGGACGTAAAAATTGGGTTGTTACATGCAACATCTGTAAAACTTGGCTTGACATCAAATTTTGTAATTTAGATTCGCAATAGAGTAGCAAAAAGCCTACATTTTAGAGCTTCTGACTTTAAATCATTCAATATCTCTTATGTCTGTAAAAACCCACATCAACAACAAAATTAATTCTACAAAAATAAATTTGAATTTAAAATTAATTTAAAAAATAAATTCATACCACAATAGTTGTATCGAAGAAAAATCTTGAAAACGATGATTTATCTTTGTAGTTCTGCATTTTATTTAAAAATGCAGCCCAACAATCAATTACTTTAGAATGCAAAAACATTATTTGATTGAATTGATATGCAAAACCATGGTGCAACAATTGACCTGTTCCAATGTCCTAAATCTCTTCCTTGTAACAAAAATTATATATAAAATCAATCCAAATACATTCAAATTTATATTCTATAAATATAATAAGTGGCTCATGTATACGAACCCATCATCTCTATTAGATGCAAAAACTGAATTGCATATGCCTGTTTCATCCTTAGTCAGTTTATCCCCAACCTAAACAATTCTTTCAATATAAGGGGAATGAAATATTTTTTCCTTTTTAGGGATACGTTTTTCCCTTTTGTCATTATCATCATCTTCTGTAGCATTATCAACAACTTCTCCTTCCAACCACATTATCCCCACTCATTCCCGACATTAGCTTTTTCCTTCTATACACCTGTAACTCAGTTTCATCCAACAACTTAATCATTTCCTCATTAACCCCAGGAAGTCGATGAAAATGACTCATTGTTAAAGAATTGGTATCAACATGTGTACTATAATTGACTTCTTTTTCTACATTAACGTCAGTAACTATCAATCCTCTAATAGGTGAACAATTTCCTTCACCGCCATCACCTACATCATTCATATTTAACTCATTACAACCCTCCGGCTCATGAACATTTTTGTTACTTGCCCCTTCATACACTTCCTTGAAAAGCTCATTCATCTTTTCCATCCACTCATTCAACACTACACTATCAGGGAATTTTACCAAACCATCCTTTAACGCAACCTCCATAGTACTTTTTCTATTAGAATTAACCCATAACTATGCTCTAAAATAGCAACATATGTCTTCAATACATATAATTAATTATTAATTACATTCCAAGAATATTTCACCAACTTTAATATGGTAAATGTATAGAAATTTTAGTAGTATTCCAGAAGATGTAATTTATATCCTACCAGAATATAAATTCAAATATTAATTACAGTAATTACAAATTAAATAATTATCCAAAAGAAACATACTATTACCTCCTCATCTCCAAAATCTCTCTTAAAACTAACCAATTGTTGTTCTTCACCTCCTGTTTCATCCCTCATATCGATATCATCATGTTCATCCCGAAATTGCTTCCCGGACCCTCCCAAACTAATTTCCAATTGTTGAATCTCTAATAAATTAGCACCATTACTATGCCCAATTAAAGAAATCCTTTTATCTAACTTCATAGAATACTTCATGTTATACACGTACATCAACTAAAAAACATTAACTTAATCAATACATCAATAATAAATCACTCCCAAATCTAAATTTTCATATAACACTATTTCAAACTTACAATCAGGAGTGTAATAGGACCACTGTAGTAGCTTGATTTGTCATCCCTTTTCCATAGTTTTTTCATTGATCCCAAACAATCAAGCATATATTTACACCAATTTAACTTTGAAAAGTCTTCTACCAACACCAACTTCCTTACCACTTTTATTTGATTTGTTCCCATCAACATTGACTCTATGAAGTTGTTAACAAAAAAGGACAAAAAAATTAAGCCTAAACATCAAACTATCTTTTGTTGTAGCCTGAATCCTTCTTAAATACTCCTCACCATTGAACTTATCACAAGTATATTGTCTCCTCCATTCTTCTAGAATTTGATTCCCCTTATCACACAATGACAACTCATTTATGCCTTCTCCACCAATTGGCAACCCCATCATATCATGTATTGTTTGTTCTGTTATCTCAATAAATAAGTTTTGTAGGACAAGTCTTTTACTATCGGAATCATACACATCTAAAAGATAGTAGCTTAGTTGCCCCAGATAACTTGTAATATTCATTTGCAGAATTGACCCAAAACCCATTCTCAAGATTGCTTGTTTTTGTTCTGGTGACATCCCCCTAACAACTATAGTGATGTTATCACGTTTCATTCTGATTGGAATGTATCTTAAACTAGGTGGGTATCCCTTATTCTTTAAAAATTTTACAATTGGAACTCTATCATATTTCCTCTTTGACCTTATCTCTCTTTCCAAAAGTAGTACATTTAAAGATTTAGGACTTTTCTTTGGTTCAACTGATTTATCAAGCTTTTTCTTTGACTTTCTTTCTCGTTTCACATGTTGTTCTTCTTCATGTACTTGTTCTGCTATAACACACAATAAACATTATAATTTTTAGTATAAGATATTAGATATTAATGTTTTAAAATATAAGATATTCTTTATATTCTAACAGAATAAAAATTTATTTCAATAAAAAAAACTACCATAAACACAAAATTCCCATTCAAACAGAATACAAATAATGACATATTAAAAAATATATATTTAAAGAAGTGCAATTCTAACAAAATATAAAATAAACTAAAAAAACATCATACATTTCATTTTCAAACATAACCCACTGCACATTGAAATACTTATATTCATACACATATTCGTATTCTACTAGAATATTCTACAATAATTATATGTGTTTCAATTTAACTCATAATTCATGGTCAAAAAAGGGTTTCATGATTATTTTCAATCTTTATTTCAGAAGAGTTCGTCATGGAGGCCAGTTACAGATGGTGCATTTTTTAGTACTTTATCCCAAGTGCATGTTGATTACTTGCAATCTCCTTTTTCCTGTGAAGAGATTAAAAGGGCTGTTTGGGACTGTGGGTCTACTAAAGCCTCTGGTCCTGATGGTTTTACTTTCGGATTCTTAAAGAGATATTAGGATCTTGTTGCTGCTGATGTTGAGGCGTTTGTTCATCATTTCTTCTAACATTCAGTTATCCCTAAGGGATGTAATTCCTCGTTTTTCACCATTATTCCAAAACTTAGAGATCCGAAGACTCCAAAAGATTTTAGACCCATTAGCCTCATTGGATGCCAGTATAAAATTGTTGGCAAACTTCTAGCTAATCGTCTTGTGGAGGTTATTCATAGTGTTGTTAGCCTTGAGCAACCTGGTTTTATTAAAGGTAGACAGATCCTGGATGGTCCTTTTCTTCTTAATGAATTGGTTGCTTGGAGAAAGTCTTCCGAAAATCCTCCCATGTTTCTTAAGGTGGATTTTGAGAAGGCTTATGATTCCTTATCTTGGGAATACCTATTGGAAATCATGTCCATTATGGGATTTGGTTCTAAGTGGTGTCGGTGGATTAAGGAGCTTTTGTCGACAGCTAGGGCTTCTGTGTTGATTAATGGTTCCCCAACTGATGAATTTCAAATTCATCGTGGATTGAGATAGGCTGATCCGCTTTTGCCTTTTCTTTTTATTCTGGCTGTGGAGGGTCTTCATATTGCTTTGATTAAGGCCCGTGTGGGAAATGCTTTCAGAGGGGTTTCTATTCCTGGGACTGATATTTTTCATCTCATGTATGCGGATGATGTAATTTTGGTCACTCCATGTGATCCTGAGAATACTAATTGTCTTCTTCGTATCCTTAGATGTTTTTTCTTAGCTTCTGGGCTTAAAATCAATTTACTTAAAAGTAAATTGATTGGTGTGGGAATTTCTTATTCCTACGTTCTTTTGGTGGCTAACAGGATTGGTTGTGCTGCTTCCATGCTTCCTTTTTTTCATCTTGGTATCCCGGTGGGTCAGAATATCTCGCGAAAGTCCTCTTAGGTTTCGTTGATTGATAGATTTCGTTCTAAGCTATCTACTTGGAAGGCTAAATGTCTTTCGTTTGGTGGTCACCTTACGTTGGTAAAGTTTGTCTTGGGTTCGTTAGGGAGTTACTAGATGTCTGTTTTCCTTGATCCTCTTTCAGTTTTGAAGGAGCTTGAAGGAATGAGGGCGAGATTTTTTTGGGGTGCTGACAGGGATGATCGGCGTATGCATTGGGTTAGATGGGAAAGAGTCTTAGCCTCCAGGGATGAAGGTGGTTTAGGGATTGGCAGCCTTTTCTCTTTCAATAGGGCTATGGTTTTTCGGTGGTGGTGGAGGTTTTTTCATTGCCTTAACCTTCTATGGGTTAGAGTGATAAAATCTATTTATGGTTTAGACGGTGCCTGTAGGAATCTGAGATATCCTAATTCTGGTCAAAGTCCTTGGGGTGGGGTTATTCGTATGCTCTTCCACTTATGCCAGAAAGATATTGATCTTCAATCTCTTTGTCCTATAAGAGTTGGAGACGGTACTCGTACTTCTTTTTGGCATGATGTTTGGAGGGATGATATACCTCTATCTGCTTCTTTCCCTAGAATTTATGCGCTGGATTTGCATAAAAATGTTTTTATAGCAAACAGGTTGTCCATAGATTTGGGGGTTAACACTCTTAGACTGGGCCCTGGAGGTGGAGTGGAACAGGAGCAATGGAATAACTTTATTTGTCTTTTGCAGAATTTCCAACTCAGGCCAGTCCCAGATAGACTGGGTTGGGTTATTGATGTGTCAGATACTTTTTCCGTTTCCTCGGCTCGAAAATTATTTGATGGTTTTACGCTTAACAACGGGGGTATTCCTACTCATTGGAATAATTGGGTTCCAATTAAGATTAATATTCTTATCTGGAGGATTAGTTTATCTAGTATCCCAACTAGAGAGCGTCTTTCTTATAGGGGTATTATGGTGGATTCCATACTTTGTCCGGTCTGCTCGTCTACAGTGGAGACTGTGGATCATCTTTTTGCTAATTGCTCGGAATTGATTGCTCTTTGGTCCCGTATTACGATCTGGTGGGGTGTTAATTGTCCTTCTCAGTTGACTGGCGTTTCTCTTTTCAATTGGGCTGACTCTACTACATGGAAAATTGGTCAGCGTAAGGCTTTCGATGCAGTTATATTAACTACATTTTGGTGCATTTGGAATTTCAGGAATGGTGTGATCTTCAGAGAGAAAACGCCTAAAAAATATTTGATTTTTGATGATGTTGTTCATAAATATTGTGTTTGGATTTCTAGTAGGTGTAGTAAAGCCAATATTAGTTGGTCCTCTTGGCTTCATAATCCTTTTAATGCTACTAAGTTGATGTAATTCCTTTTCTAGCGTCTTGCTAGCTAATAATATTCTGTCGTTAAAAAAAAATTCTAACTTAATAAAAAAAATAAACAACAAACAATAAAAATATTATACAATTTGTTTAAATGATAACAGTATAAAAGAAAAATTATCAAAAACACCCTCTTTAAACTCTACCAGACGATATTACATATAAATAGAATTCCACCAGAATCATTTATATTTCAATACAAGACATAAAATCCACTATTTATTTGGATAGTCACACTCATATACAACATACCATTCTACTAGAATTTTACATATGTAAACTTAATCAATCTATTAGAATTTTGAATGTTTCAGTTTAAGTCATTAATCATATACAAACTTTGATTCCAGTAGAATATAAAATCTTTATACCCTGCTAATTAACTACTTATTCATAGAATTTTCGTTACAGTTTTAACTAATAAAACAACATGATTAATTCTAGAGGAATAACAAACATCTTTATGTTCATATGAATAGAGCATTCGGTCAGAATAACATGGATAGTTATTTCATTCTATCATACTATTATTATTTCAAGGCATATTGTAATGAACATTAATTATTCTTAAGAAATTCCAAAAAAAAAGACACCTTCTTGCCAACCACAAATCATACATGCATAAATGATTTTAAATACACTTCCTACACTATAATACATTTTTCGAACTCAATAAACATCAACTAAAACAAAAAATTGTTACCTTCAGGTTGCGCAACGAAAGGTTGCGCAACGAAAGGTTGCGCAACGAAATCATCATCGTCATCTTCAAGATTCAAGGTCGTTGCTGCTATGTTCTTGAACTTCGACTTGAATGAAGTTGATCGTGTACTCCTCATTCTTATAGAATACTGTTCACAGAAGCCCGCAAATGCCGATTCCATCTTCTAGGGTTAAGTGTCGATATATATGAAAAACCTTCAACGAATCTTCCGATTTTGAAGATTGATTACAAAAAATCATAATGTGTTACAACCTCCAAAGGAATTGGGTTTTTGATTTTTTGAGTATGCGAGATTGTAGCACCTGGTTCCTGGTACGTAAAATTTATCTAAGTATTTGTCATTTTTTTAGCCTTGAACTCGGCGAGTTGTAGGTCCGACTCGCCGAGTAGGGACGCGGTCCGGGGGTACGTTTAAGTTAGCGACTCGGCGAGTCACCGCTGTTTGATGAAACCCTAAATTTCAAGGGTTTGCACCTTATTTAAACACTCATTTCCGCCCTAACCTCGCCCCCATTCACCCTTAGAGCTCCCAACATTGTTTTTTCCCTTTTTCCTTGCGAGATTGAAGTGTTTTGGGTGTGTTCTTGAAGTTTTTGAGGATAAAGAAGAGTAGCTCAAGAATAGGAGAAGGAGGCCAAGCATCTTTGTGACATCTCAACGTTTTCCTTGAGGTATAGTTCGTTTCCCCTCTGTTTTCAAGCTTGTAGTCCCTAATAGCTTCATGAAAGTCCTTTTTGAGCCATTCTTCAAGCTTGTTTGTGCTTTGTAGGTTGTAATAAGTTGTTAGCCTTTAGATCTAGGCATGATTTAGTCCCTGGAGCTTGGACCTACTGCCTTTATGGACTCATATTGCATGAAAGTCCTAGATCTACCCCTTTTGGTGCACTTTGAGCCCTAAAACCTTCATTGGTGATTATCTACACGTAAAGTTGGAAACTTTACGTGTAAACCAGGCCCTAGGAACCCAGATCTATGAATGGCATGGACTGGATTCAAGCAAAATCATGTGTATAGTGTTTGCATGAGGCAGACTCGGCGAGTCGTTCATCTGACTCGACGAGTCCGGTCGCGAGTCCCCGGGTTGTACTCTTTTACTGCTGTGAGTTGGAGTGGTGAGTCATAGGGTATGACTCAGTGGGTTGGAAGCCAAACTCACTCATGAAGTCACTCGGCGAGTCAATGCCATGACTCGGCGAGTTCATGGCAATCTTCTTGTCTCAAGAACAACTCGATGAGTTGTTCATACAACTCGGCGAGTCACAGCTTAGAGTGTTCTTCGGATGAAGGCGAACTCGGCGAGTAGGATGAAGGACCATTGGACTTTGATATAGAGAAAGGGACTCGGCGAGTTGGCAAGCCAACTCGGCGAGTCTGGTCAACTGGCAGTTGACTGTGACTTGACTCATGACTTGTTAAGGGTAAATGGGCAGTTTACCCAGAGGGTGGTTAGCCGTATTTGACTAAGTGTTTGGTGGGAATTACAGTCGGAGGATTTCCGAAGCAGCAGCAGCAGACAGTCAGTTCCCACGCAGATCGACAGTTACTTTGAGGTGAGTTTCCTTTCAGTAGGAACGGGTCTAAGGCACCAAGGCCGACCCATGTAGATGAGATGTTAGTACTAGAGTGTGGGTCGAGCCCGTATCTCTTGGTTTAGTTGATTATGATATATGCCTATATGATAGAGTTGTCTACACCTATTGTCTGCGTGACACTTGTATATTATGGGTTAGCGGTTGAGTGTAGGTAGGGCCCGTATCTCTCCGAGAGAGGAGTGTAGGCGAGGCCCATACCTCCCAGATAGTATAGTGTGGGCGAGGCCCGTATCCCTCGGCTAGCGGAGTGTGGGCAAGGCCCGTATCTCCTAGCTGTATGTTGTATGCTTGTATGGTATGAGGTATTATGGGGGAACTCACTAAGCTTTGTGCTTATAGTTTTCAGTTTTGGTTTCAGGTACCTCTTCTTCGAAGGGGAAGGAGTTGGCGCGGTAGCGGTACATCACGCACACACCTGTTCGTATTCCGCATTATGACATCTATTTTGGAGATTGTACTCTGACATTTTTATGATTATGACAATGTTTTCTAACATGCAACATCTTTTGTGAAATGAAATGGTTGTTGAATGATTTATTTCTAAATGTTTTGCGAAAGTACATGTTTTAAAAAAACGAAATTTTTGGCTAGTATTTTTAGGATGTTACAAGTTGGTATCAGAGACCTGGTTTGAGGGATTCGAACACACCTTCGGGGGTGTTTGAACTCAAATCTAGGGATTAAAAGATTTTGGAAAAGGAAATGTTTTTTTAAAAGGCTAGTAAAGGGTTCTAAGAAAGGACGAAGTGTGTGATGTGCGCGACCGGCCAAGCTCAAGTAAGTATTCCCCAAAGTACCCATACAAGTTTATGTTATGCTTATCAGTTTCAGTAGAACAACATGCTAGAATAGGACTAAGGATCTAGGAGTGATGCCTTATGTGTCTGCTTTATGTGCTTCAGTTTGTGAAAAGTTTCATGCTAGAATTGAGTAGACAGCAGTAGGGTAGCCTATTTAGGTTATTCCCGATAGTACGAGTTTAGCATTGTATACTAGTTCAGTTTTTCTCTACGAGGATAGAGTTGCCTGAGATTGTTTTCCTTATGTCCAAATGTTGTTTGCTTTGTGCTATGTGGGCTTTGAAGTGATGGGAGTTAACTGTTAGGTGAATACGTTAAAGTCACATGTGATCAGGGTTGAATAATCTTAGAGTGTTGGATTTGACTTTATTGTGTAGCTCTTGTTTGAGTCCTAACCGTTGTAGAGATGAGTCCCTTACTCAAAGGATTATCCGAGCCTCGTCACATGTGATTGTATTCAGGTAATAGTTGATTGGCATCACCAAGAGGCCTTCAGCAGCTGAGGACTGGGTTGGGTGGAGTCAGAGTTTTCCTAAGGAAAGCCTTAGATAAAAGTAGCAGTGATCAACGGTAGTGGAGGGGACCTGGTTGAGTCAAGGTAATCTTTGGGGAAGGTACAGATAGATGTGGAAGGTAGTATGGGCCCGTACTACTGAAAGCAGAGGATCTGTACCCGAACCGAGGAAGGCTAAGATAAGACCAGGGAACCTGTAGTGGGTGTGATCCCTCCAGGGTATCAGTATCACTAACAGTTGTCATTTCATTTGTATTTCAGAATGGTGGTACTACGTTCGAGGCCAGCAGTTGGCAGTGCAGGAGAGGGATCAGGTTCCGAGCCGGTGGATGAGGGGCTACGCGAGTTCATCACGTCTAAGATCACCAGGGGCATCCTTGAGTCGACCCCCATCATCTTCGGGTCGATCAAGGAAGGGATATTGGAGTTGATGGAGGATCGCCTCCAGACATTCAGGAGCGACATGGTATCTGGCCAGTCGGGATCTCGCACGCTGTCCTTCAAGGACTTTTGGGGCAGTGGTGCGCCGGATTTTCACGGGGCGAAGGACCCCATAGCTTCCAGGCGATGGATTGCTGACATTGAGTTTGCCCAGATGATTAGCTTCTACCCTGAGGGGTCGAAGGTGAGGTTCGCAGCAGGGTGTTTACGAGACCGAGCTAGGGATTGGTGGGAGTCCGTGGGGGACTCATTGGGAGCCTCGGCTGTCGAGGCTATGACTTGGTTGGACTTTGTGACCAGGTTCAGGGCGGAGTTCGCGCCAGCTGTCGAGCTCCAGCAGCTGGCTAGGGAGCTCTTGGATATGAGGCAGACGACGGAGACTATGGCAGAGATCACCGCCAAGTTCCAGGAGAGGGCATTATTGGTGCCCCAGTATGCGGATGATGAGGATATGAGGAGGACCCATTATCATGACATGCTACGGGCTGACATCCGGGAGCATGTTAGCTTTTCAGCTTTCCCTACCCTGGATTCCATGATTGCCAGGGCGAGGGAAAGGGAGATTGATTTGGAGCACATTCGGAAGAGGAAAGAAGAAGCGGGGCAGGTGGTTGGGGCTTCAGGGAAGAATCCTAGAGGATCAGATGGGAGGCTGAAAGGCCAAGGAGGGCGGGGCCGTTGCGGGAAATGCGACAGGACACATGAGGGAGCATGTAGGATGGGATCAGCAGGCTGCTACAAGTGCGGCAAGGCAGGGCACTTTAGCAGGGATTGTACTACTCCTGTCTCGGCTATTCAGGCATCAGAGTTGCTGTGTTTTCACTGCAACCAAAGGGGCAACAAGAAGGCCAATTGCCCCCAGTTGACATCATCAGCGCCGGTTAAGGCGCCAGCTCCAGCTACCCTGCGGATTACAGATGGCCGACAGGGAAAGGCAGAGGCTCCAGTGGTGAGGAGTCGGGCGTTTCAGCTGACTGCAGAAGAGGCACGTACCGCACCCGATGTGGTGACGGGTATGATTCTTTCCCTCTACTTTATTTTTATGATGTTATGTTATTGATATGTGCTCTGTGTATATGCATTAGGATCGTTCCATGTGAACGGTATTCCTATTCAGGTGTTGTTCGACTCGGGTGCCACCCGATCATTTGTTTCCCTTGCGCTTAGCAAGAGGTTTACTGAGTCCTCGGGCATGTTGGATTGCCCTTTAGAGGTAGAGATTGTCGATGATCGATCAGTGCGAGCATCAGTAGTGTTCAGGGATTGTGTTTTGAGGTTATTTGAGGAGCGTTATTTGGTGGATTTGGTTCCGATACCGTTGCGGGGGAACAAGGTGATTATAGGCATGGATTGGTTGAGCCCTAATGGGGCGGTGATAGATTGCGCACAACAGCTAGTGCGGGTCAGGACCCCAAGTGGGGGAGAGTTGGTGATCCAAGGCGAGAGGCCACAACGTGGACCTATAGTATGTTCAGCAGCGAGAGCTAGGTGCTATCTTCAGCAGGGATGCGTGGGGTATGTCGCATACGTTATGAATACCCGAGAGACGGGTAAGGCGACCGTGAGCGAGGTTCCAGTGGTGCGAGACTACGCTGATGTGTTCCCGGAGGAGCTTCCTGGAATACCTCCGGAGCATCAGGTAGAGTTCAGGATCGACCTAGTTCCTGGTGCGGCTCCGATAGCCAAGGCACCCTATCGGTTGGCTCCTCCCGAGATGCAGGAGTTGTCTACGCAACTGCAGGAGCTGCTAGACAAGGGATTTATTCGTCCGAGCAGTTCACCCTGGGGAGCCCCGATCCTGTTTGTGAAGAAG